ATCACAAGTATGGATTCCGTACACCAGAAAACTCCAAGCTAGAATCGAGAAGGTTCAACAAACCTTCACGAAAATACTGATGTATCGGTGCTACCCAAATCCAGATTACCCGTCTTGTATGCCAGAATATAGAGAACGTCTACAGCGCTTCAAACTCAAGACCCTGCTATATAGACGTATTTTCAATGACATTGTCTTCTGTTTCAAATTGCTCAAAGGCAATTTGAAGCTGAAGCCAAGCACTTACTGGGTGTTCCGGCCTTCCCGTGGGCGCACCAATGTGTTCTCTCTAACATGCCCCAAGCTTGCTAGAAAACATCGGAACAAGGTTTCCAGCTCCCTAATTTTTCGGGGAGCGAAGTGGCTTCAGATGCTGCCAACGGAAATTCAAAGGGCTCGAAATGTCAGCATTTTCAAGAGGAATTTGAGGAAAGTAGATCTTTTAGTGCTTCTTGGCATTCAAGACTTCTAATATGCTTCAAGATTTTTTTTCAGTAACCGGATGCTTACTCGAAACGTTCCCCTCTTGCGCTCAAACCTTCAGCCGACCCGTAGATGAGAAGACAGCGATAGTAGATTTTTACTTTTCTGTTTGTTTCTGTTTGTTTTTTCCTCTTCTTTCTGAGTTCCTTTCACAATTGCTAATCCTGTGGATCCTGCTATTGTATTTTGACTGATTGACCTTAACAGCTTGGGAAGGGACCTCTACGTGCATAATTGCGAGTATCCACTAACCTTCTTTCTTCTGACTAAGCTCTACTTAGTTGTGTTCAGATGGTTGATCTGGATTGAATTTAAAGGGAGTGGCGTTATCCCTAGCGCCATCCGCCTATCTAGAGTCATCAGTGGTGAACACGTGATCTGCTCAACAATTTCTTCGATTGGACAGAAATTATTTATTTTTCTCTTGTTGCATAGTAACTCCCTTTCCCTTACTAGTTGAGGTCGGTCAAACTCCATTTGCACAAGCGGTATCCTATTGTCTATGATATAGCGCACCTATGCGTGCATCAACTAAATAAATAAATAAATAAATAAATAAATAAAAATAAATAAATAAATAAATAAACAATGTTTTCTTATGCCCTAGGAACGTCTTATAGTGATTCTATACTGGAACCCTATGTAGGGACTGCGCCATATCAACTGTAATGACAAGCGTACAGAGAAAAGTGACGCGAGTGAGTTTCACCCCTATTCTAATGAAGATGAAATTTCACGAGTCCCCAGGAAATTCACGCTTATATTCCTTTTGTATCTACTCTCTTAAAAATATTGTTGTTCTTGGTGGTTCAACAACACGTTTCCATAACACACCACTTTATCCTTGCAACGGAGCAAAAAGCGCTCTGGGATGATCTTGGAGCGCTTATATACACCAAAGATTATCATAAAGTAAATCTCCCATTAAACATGAAAATAATGAATAACATAGCATAGAAAGTCGCGATTGATCGCGACAATTGTGGAGCGAGACTTGATGTACTGAAGTCTCTCGACGGCCATGTTACCCAGATCCAGCAGTCCGCAGCGACATAATCCGTCGTAATTGAACAGCATTACTGAAGTGTTGCGATCGGTTTTCACGCAAAACAACAACCTTTAAAGGCATCCATGTTGTCCGCAGAGCACCGAACTCCAAAATTCCTATACTGCTGGCCATGAACTGCCTACAAATCAGACGCCCACGTAGCATGATTCAGTAAGTACTGCGCTCGAATGGAAACGAATAAACTTTGACGTTAGCCGGTTGTCGTGCATAGTAAGCAGCATCGATGTCACAAATTCAACCGTAATCTCTCGACTTAACGCTGTCCCGAATTTCAGGATCGATAGGCGATGAATCTCGTCCACACAATCGACAGAGCACTTCACAGCGTTATACTTCGAACTCTTCGCAACAGAAATAACCACCCACTACTTTCTACCTCTTTCATGACCGTGCACTTTTGCTTTTGCTTTGCTCGAACTCTCTCATGTGGCGATTGGCTGAGTTCCAATTCCCTCAACAGTCATCAACAGTCAATTTTTTACACGCCCCAATTCAGGAAGTTTTAAGTAAGCCATTATGCGGCCAACATATCTTAAATTTGCATGAATCGCCGTCCTTTCGCTTTTCTTGTATTTGCGTTGAACTATTTACAATTAGTTAATGTTTATACAATTAGGGCAAGAATGGGGAACGAAGGTTCCAAAAGTCGTTTGAGTGACCATGTCGCGCTTCCAAATTCATCCGCGCCAACTCCGAACATCATCATCACACGTCCTTCACCGACAGACTGCTTGGAAAGTCCAAAACCTCGAGCTCCTCCGCCAACACCGCTAGATGGAAGGTATTAATATTTATTCACTGTTCAACGATTGATATTTTTTTCCTTTCAATATTTTCAAGCTTTGGAGGTTTGAAATTGTCCTTCCGAACAGTTCAGTCAAAACTAAACAATACAGTAGATGTTCGAAGAAGTGCATCAATCCAGCAGAAGGACAAGGCTAGCTTCCCTTCACTATTGGCCTGGTTATGCTCACGCACGAAATCTAGTGCTATGACTAATAATACGGATTTTTCGAAAGCAGCACATATTAAAAAAATCGAAATCACAATAAATATTATCTATTATATCATAAATACGTTCACCATTTCTCCGTTTCTCGTCTTATGTATTAGATGACTCCATTAGACCATTGACGAAGTTCTTCTAACCTTTTTATGGGGCCAGTGCCATTCTCTCTCTAGTTCCGCAAGCAGCTTCCCTCATTGACGATCAGTTTTTCTTCTCATCAGTTATGCTCACCTCCTTTTCTTGCGCACTTTGTCCTTTCTAGCCCGCTTTGCACGTTACTTTTGGAAAAGTTGGCTTCCTGTCGTGTACATCATCTCTAGAAAAATTAGCTTAGTTGAGCAAAATTACGGTAACACGATCACGTGATCGTGGGAAAGCACTGCAACCAGAAAGATTCAGGTGGACAACAACAAAATGTTAATAGAAAGTAGTGAGCAGAATAGAACATCACTTCTTGGACTGAACGCTCTCTGGGTTGATATGTACTAAGTATACTAAGTAGCCAAGTTATCTCGGGAACGTAACGCGCGTGGTGTGTATGTACATAGGTAGGCAACATCAAGCCTCTCCTAGACCATCAGATCAATTCATCGATGCTCCGATGCTTCGTTTATTATCAAGCATTCCGAAAGGTTGAACTATTGTAATGTTGCGCAATAGTTGTTGTGTATGCAGCCGGTCTACCTTGTTGGTATACCCGGTGGTTTCTCTCAAAGATTTCTTTAGTTTAATACATTGAAATTTGAAAGAATGCAAAATATTCGCTCTTGTTACCGTAATTTTTGCTCACCCTCTACTTTCCACAGTTCAGTCGGTAAAATAGAGAGAGTTACAATTAACAAGATACGACGATGCGGTATATGAATCAACCAAAGAAGGGTTCCTACGGGTGACCCTTTATACGCAATTTAATAATGTGCGAAGCTATAATGCACACTCACCTGGGAAGGTGACTCAGGGCCACAGGCAGAAGATAACAGTCCTTCAGCCTGACTCTTTGGTCCTGAGATTAGAAGGCCTTTTCAAGGGTTTGGTTGAGGTGGTGCACCTGGTGATGGACTGTCCCTTGTGAACGATAGTTTTCAGTTCGTTGCCTGCTGGAATTAAATTGGGGAGAAAGTATAATTCGTTCCGATTCGCCTCACTTTCATGACAGGATCCAGTAGTTAATCGTATAAAACAATGGTATGCGATGTATGCTAATTCTGATATTCTTCCGTTGCAGTTACTACTGTGCGGACAGTCCAGTGCCAAACGAACCCCCATCGACACCACACAACAGGTTTACCCACTTATCTGTTCGTATATATTTTTACATTAACAGGTCAAAAAGCGCTCAAGATCCCAAAAAATGCTACTATGCTAATGCAACAATGCTCGACATTGCTGATTTTGATGAAGGTTTGAGGAATGCAATCAAAAATCTGCGCTAGTTTCAGAGCTTTTCCTGAAAAAAGTACTGAAAGCGCTCAAAAATCTTTACCCGACACATTTTGTGAATGTTCAGGGACAAATTTCTAAAAGTTTGTCTGAAAATCCAAATTGCTGGGGTATTCCAAGCGAATAAGGTAGTGTTTGTGCTTTTTAGAGGAAGGGAGAGGGCATCACCTTGCCTGAAATTGGCGGTGGTTTTGGAATCGTTGCAGGTTTTGTTTCGAATTTGCCAAAAATTGTTATGAAACTAGTGAATTTTTACACTTCAGCCAAAAGTAGGTAGTTGGCAAGTGGATCAAATCAAATAGTCCAAAAATGTCATGAGTTACTGCCGCCCATCTTGGAGTGTCCATTGCTGATTTTTCTGTTTTTGTTTTTCGACTGGCATTGCTTGACTCTCCATTTCCGCATCTCCCGAAAGTCCATCAAGTGAGAAGGATGAGGGGAGTGAAAACCAGATGGTGAACCCACATATGAATGGGTGAGAGAGAAAGATAGTCATGTTGTTTTCAAGCCCTTATTTAGCGTAATGTTTGTCCCTCCTCTTGAAGCTAACCCTTCAATTAATTTGTAGGAATGCGGCGATTTCCGAAACGTGCATTCTCGAAGCCTACTTCTGGCGTTTTCATAAATTCTTCTCTGGAACTGACCTATTTTGAATAGAAGAAACTCAACCTGGATTTTGTCTTTAATATCTTTTTCGGACACAAAGATAACATGCTCGCATTCAGAGTGAACTCATCATTTCGGTCAGGGAATGAACTAGTTGGTTCCTTGTGAATAAGGCGATAAATGTAGACGTTCTTGGAAAAGGGGTGGAAGAGTGCAGGAGAAGATCATCAAACTTTGCCGGATTCATCATTGCGGCTTAGAACTACATCACATCTGCTTTATAGATTCAATAAAGATTAATCGTATAGCTGAATAGGTATTAGGTCGGTCCATAATTTTTGAGACACCTTTGGTGTTTCGTTCATTAATTATCTTATTTCTCTGATGTATTTATTCAGCATAGTATACATCACCATTATTACCAACATATAACCAATGCGAGGGTGGGTATTCAGTGTCTCTCTTGTAGAATTTCATAGAGTTCTGATCGAAGAAATATTGGATGTCGATTTTGACTTTATGGTGATTCAAGTGAGATTTCTTCTCCAGAAGGTGATTGAGAGAGGAGAGCGGATAGTCGTTCGTTGGCACAAGGTTAGTGCTACAAGGCGGAGCTAAAAGAACTGACCGCCCGAGAGTCTCCAATTTTTATGAATTTTCTTAGCAAGGTGGACTCGAACGACCTCAGAAAAAAATAGATTTTGTCTTCCTTTGCTTTCAAGTTGAAGGCGTTGCCATCAAGCTGTCAACGATTCTCTTCATCACTGACACTGGTATTAGTTGATGCCGGTTTCAGCGCAAAGGCCCTCTCGTATTCCGCCAACGACTCAGGAAGTTAGAATTCAGAGGGAGTTGGGTTTTTGCTGTCAGAACTCCCGAATCGTTTCAAGCTAAGCTACTGCGGCTTGTGGATTTGTTAGCACACTGCACCCAGTCCACATCACCGATGAGTATGATGGATGGTCATTCGAAGGAACTATGGGAAACCAAGCAGGAACATGATGATGTCAGATCGGGTTTAGAGCTGATTCGGGCACAGAGCATGTGAGGGACAATGTCATGGGGTGGTTGGAGTGTGGATCATCTTCGAATAAAAGGAGGGAACCCTGAGTAGAGGTAACCACAGGGCACCGTGGAGAGCGTGCCCTCAACTATCTTCTGGTTAATCCTCCATATAGCTTGGCGCGTGGAAGATCCTAATCGGTAGTCATGAAGAAAGAGGCTCAGAAATAGGTTTCGAAGAAATTGGAATCCTAGCTAAAGAAAGCAACAAGCAAACGAGTGGCTAGCCTGTCGGATAGGCGAGCTTGTGTGCTAGGTTGCAGGACATCTTGGAAAGCTTCAATACTTATCAAAGATTTTCACAACAACACATGTAAAGTATCTCAAAAACGACCGATCTAATAGTTGTAAAACTATGGACCGACCTAATAGTTGTAAAACACGTCAGCGGTGGTGACTTGATATAGTTCCCAATGAACTCCTAGGATAAGCGTTATTTCAGTTTAAAAATTAGTGAAGAAGTGTGAACTGAAAATAAATCCAATGTGTTGCTACTCCAAAACATATTCTCCTTTTCCAGTATTGTACTCCAATTCTTTTCAGTCATGCACTTTTACTGTCTAGTTTCCGACCGTTTAAAAACAAAATATGAATTCATAATCAGTTTGCACTCACTTTTCCGAAAGATATGTGCACGTTTTTCCATAGTGTGTACGACTTGGATCCGCGAGAGACGATGGTATTGGCTGGAACTCCTCCTCCAGATCGTCCGCCGCCACCTCCACCAGACGAACCGATGCACAACTGTAACGGGAGCTATTTTGGTGAAAGCACTATCATAGTTAGTCGCTACATTCTAAAACACCTTGTTCAGTTTATATGGTCTTGGACGAACGTGTTTTTGTTGTGACTCCCCTGTCTGGCTCTGTTTAGCAGTCGGACGAAGGTTCAAATCCGCCTCCATTACCACCGATGCCCGCGCCGCGGACTGGCTTTCCTGTGATTAAAAGGAACATTATATATGCAAAGGTATGAATCATCACATTTCGTAGTACGTTCCTGCTAATGCTTGATATTCAGGATCGAATTAGTCAATTTGATGCCTTAAATACGACTAATAGACCGAAAGCAAAGCAGAGCGAGGAAACTCATCAGATGAAAGACTACTTTGACCGACGCGACAGTCCACGCTTTCAGCCGTTCAGTTACGCTCCACTTACCGAATCGAGTACTACTGCCACAACAAAGGTTTGTACAAATTATTTGAACTGTTCTTTTTGTACAAATACTGTTGTCTGCAAAGAGCTATATGCTCCCTTAACTCCTTCCTTCTTCCTTAACTTCCGAATATTTATTTATTATATTTATGACTTTCAAGGTGAATCATTCAAGAAGAGGACCCATAATACAAACTTCATTCAAAGGAATCAAGCATTTTTGATTACAAGATAGAAAAACAACAGAGGATTTCATTGAACAACTAAGCTAACTGTACACATGTGTATGAACATGAGTAGAAACAAAGTGAAACCAAGATCGGACAACTCCGCCCAGTGGAAATCTTCGCCCACCTTGTGTTGTGCTACTGCTGTGATTTTCTACTGCAAGGTTATTTTTTGAATTCTCAACTTTTGTATTCAATTTCAGTCGAACTATGACGAATATCCTATCTACAATCCAATTAGCGACTACACATTCAAAAGTGGTATGACCTTCCAACAAGGGGCGTATCCCATTGATGCGGTATGTTATTGGTTCAAAATTATATAAGCTCCTTCACTTTCCGAAGAGTCCTTCGGCAGCTTGACGAAACTTGTTTTCGAAGCTTCTCTAAATTCAGTTCTGGGTGACTATATTCATGTTTAGACTCGCATCAATATTGGATTTGTTGGCCGCCAAGGAGCCGGAAAGTCTACGTTAATAAATGCCATAAGAGGTTTAACCCTCACAGATCCACAAGCGGCGGGACGTCATCCTTGCAATCACATGGAACCATTTCGGTACATAGAGCATTGATCTCATGAACGGATTATTCTACATAGCTTGAACTTGCTTTCTTTCAGATTTATGGAGGAAGAATTTCAAAACATGATTCTTTGGGAAATACCATATCCACGTGCTTTCGTTTCGGTTTCCGATATCTATGATAGGAACATGGGCTTCGATCGATTTTATGAGTAAATTACTTTTCTATCGAATAATTTTCTTTTCATTTTGTTTAGCTTTTCTTTGATTATCGGATCTTTTTATTCTGTTAGGTTAATACATAGTAGATCACTAAATTTATGGCTGCGGAAATTCTCAGAAAAATGGAGGCGTGGGACATGTGTCGCGAATTAACGCTCATATTAGCCTATCTGAACAACTAGTCAGCTCTTTCACTCGTTGGTTTTCGTAGCTTCCATTTTTCTAGAACCCATTTTCGAGCTTCCTTCTTCACCACCGAATAGGATCTTTCAAACGTCAAACAAAATATAAGATCAAGCAGAAGATAGGTAAGGGGGCATTACCTCTAACCACGATGCAAAGGTGGTTCACTCTATTCGGAATAGGCTTTTTTATTTGAAGTGATTTACACTCCAACAACCCGTGACTGGTAATGTTAGTGTTCTATCTGGAGCCACTAAAAAGAAATGCGCCGCTGTTTACCGGAACGCATCTGATGCGACAAGAACCGCTACTGAGACATTTCCATAAGCTCGTGAAGATTTGAAGTGTGGATTTGTATTGACATGGTCTGAGAAGCTTCAAACATCATGTTCCATATAGTTTCCGATGGCTCCTTCAGTTGATCATCCAGCACATTTACAGGTATATAAAGTGGGTGCAGTGTTCCAGCAAATCCGGAAGAAGCAGAAGCCTAGCTTAACACTTTGACGACAGCGCGGAAAACATATATCCCTCACGCTTCCCGCACCCTTTCATCATCTCTTTGCGCAAATGCTCGGCCTACAAAGCTTTTTGTTCAGTTTGAAAATCGGATATTAATATAACTATAAACGTCGTGGTCTACGAAATGCTTCAGTTTAGCATAGGCGTTCCGAAGCTTGTGAAAATTTAGCTTTCATTTTTGAGCTCAAACCAATAGTAACTCTTAAGGTAGAACTAAAACTATTTATTATAGTAGAAAAAACGTAAACGAGCCCTCTTCAACCAGCTCTTCAATTCCATTCATTTTATATCACTGAATAGACATCTTCTAAAGACCAAGTTAATTACTCAGTAACCACCCTCGTTGCCTGTACGTTCGAGTTTCTGAAAACGCGCCTTGTTGGCCCGTGCGTGGGAAACGTTGAGGTAAGCAAACCAGCCCTTTTGGCGTTTCTGCTGGGTATGCTGAATGTTGGGGAGGGGATGGGGTCCCCGAGGTCGACGGACTACTTCAACTCGGTCGGTACGGTAGGAGAGTGATGACGAAGTGGTGCAGCTGGTCCAGCAGCTCCGCCAGAAGGGCTGGTTTGCTCACCCCAGGACTAAGCCTTGGAGAGGGACGGACCCGTCCTCTCTTTAAGGCTTAGTTCTGAGGTAAGCACCAAATTGTGGCGGTTTAAGGACCGAGTTGAAGTGGTCCGTCGACCGTCGGGGACCCCATCCCCCCCAACATTCAGCATACGGCCCCAGCAGAAACGCCAAAAGGGCTGGTTTGCTTACTTCGGATATGTATACCGCGACAACTGCGGTCGCCAAATCGCGTCGGCCCCACATGGCCAAAAACACCAAAACTCGCATTGTCGTCAGTGTATTACACGATTAGGGAGCTCTTACAGTAAAAGTCCACCCTCCTCTAAATTCGATTTTTCTGCGTCGTTAGCAGAATGCGAGAGGGGATTCGCCTCGAACACCGATATCCAACACTAGCAAGGTCAGCGATGAAAACACACGTCAACAGCTTGACAAGATGGCTTCGAATTGAAAGCGAAGCAATACAGAGTGTACTCTCGGGGGGAGAGTTCTTTCAGCTACGCCGTATAGCCTTAAAGGCAAAGTTCGGGCTCAGACCCACTTAATGAGCCTTTACGGTGGCTAGAAGCGCTAGGTACGCAAGTGTAGAGGTCGCGTCACTTCCCTACTTCGAAAAGCGTTATTTAGACGCTAGGCGCTAAGAACTTTGACACGCTCCACCTGTTGCGACACGCTCCGCCCACCGCTCGATATGCTTTCTCCACTCGTACTTCTCTTGCGCTCTCCGCGCTCACATTATCTCTCTCATCCGGCCTTTTGAACTTCTCCGCAGCGTAGAGCAAAAGGCTCGTATTTCCTGTGTATTTCACGATTTTTTTTCTTTTTTCTCCACTGGCGGTCCACTTCCTACCCCTACTTTCACATTTGAGTGGAATTACCTCATAATTCAATCCTGAATCTTGCCTTTAACCTCGTGCCGACAAGGGACCACCCATTTCTCGCACCCTTCCTTGGGAAGATATTTTGCGCTAAGTAAGGTCGTCACACAGCTGACATTCGATCTTTGTTTAATCCGAAATTTACAGGATTTCACACGAAAGGCACCTATTAGCTCCACCACGGATAGGCAACATTTTGTATATAACTGTGGTACTGTTTTTATGAGCAGCACAGCAACACAGCAGCAGAAAAGTAACGAACAAATCAAAAATGAAACATAGCCAAAGTGCTTCTGTAATTATGGAACAACCTGATATTTATTATAGTAGATGTGAGCAACAACTTATTGTATTGAGTCTTTACTTATTAAGTTGATTTTCAGGTCTCATAAGTTAAACCTATTTCGGTATATTTTTCTCTTAATCGCCGATGGCGCACCACACGATGATGACATATCCTTTGCTAGAATCGTGCATTCAAGGTAGCTTTTCTTCTATTTATTTATTTATTTGATGGCAGTGATCACGGTGGTTGAGGAAGTGCAGTTTTGATGCCATTGATTGTAATGGTGAACTAGACCCTCACGCGCTGTGGTGTGCTTGTGCCTTCTTCGAACCCGTGAAACATCATTCTAAGAGGCAACCGCTGAGATGCAAGATAATGGGGCATAGGAGAGAGAAAAGAAATGAGGCGAGAGAGCCTGTACAATTGAGAAAGCGGAGTCGGCCTCCGACGTCAGCTTTTGGACGGGATCTCGGGCGCTGAGTGCAGCCACGTGGGTATCTATCGTGATTTCTTAAGCTCCATCAAGGTTTTCAAGATATCAGCACAAGGCATAAGTATGCTATTTGCTCTGCTCTTGCTACTATTTT